GCAGAGCAGAGGGAGAAGCAGGCTCCATGCAGGAAACCTGAGTGGGACTCAACCCTGGGTCTTCAGGATCACGCCCTGAAGGCGGTGCTAAACCGCTGAGCCACCTAGGCTGCCCAAGGGCATGATTTTAATGCTGAGGCTGTGTGGCAGCTGTTTTAGGTATTCTGATACTAAAGCTATGTGCAGAATTAAGTTGCCAGAACGCCTGACCATCACCACTATCCCTAATTAATCCTAAATCAGGGGTCTTACCATGGTAGAGAAGTATTAAGGAAAGAGAGGGAGGAACATAAGCTATAGCAAATTTCTTTATAAAACTAATGTTATTCTTCTGTTATATTGTATTTATCTTTTAACATCACCGCCTGTCATTGAATGCTTTCTCTGTGCTAATGCTATATATACACGTTATTTCATATAATCACATAGATTAAATTATCTAGATTATTTTTTAAAAGATTTATTTATTTATTTATTCAGAGAGAATGAAAGAGAGGCAGAGACACAGGCAGAGAGAGAAGCAGGCTCCATGCAGGGAGCCTGACGTGGGACTCAATCCCGGGTCTCCAGGATCACACCCCGGGCTGCAGGCAGCGCTAAACCGCTGCGCCACCGGGGCTGCCCAATTATCTAGATTATTATTTGCATTGGACACGTGCATCATTGAGACCCAGAGGTTTAATATCTTGCCTGTGGTCACATATCTAGTAACTAGTGGTACTGTGATTTGACCCCAGCTCTGTTTAATTCTAAAGCTTGTATTCCTAATCACTTTGCTATACTGAAAATTCTATTCAGAGTCTATGAGTATCAGCTCATACTGTATCTAGAGCAGTGGGACTGAATTTCTAGCACTGTTCATATGCATATTTATGAAATTCTATAACAACAAATTAGGTGTCCCACAGAGTTTATAATATTTTTATTTTTATTATTTAAAAATATTTTATTTATTCATGAGAGACACAGAGAGAGGCAGAGACATAGGCAGAGGGAGAAGCAGGATCCCCGTGGGGAGCCCGATGTGGGACTACTTGATCCTAGAACCCTAGGATCACGACCTGAGCCAAAGGCAGATGTTCAACTGCTGAGTCACCCAGGTGCCCTATAATACTTATTTTTAAAGAATTACTTATTTAGCTAGAAAGAGCATGAGCAGGAAGGGCAAAGGAGAGAGAGAGAAAATCTGAAGTAGACTGTGTTGAACCCAACATGGGGCTTGGTTTCACTCAGTTCATGACCTGAGCCAAAACCAAGAGTCAGACGTCTAACCAACTGCACCATGTAGACACCACCCCCCAAAGAGTTTATAATAGTAAAATGTTTACTGGGATTAATACAGTGTTCTGAGTTAAGAAAGCTCTTTGAGGGGATCCCTGGGTGGCGCAGCGGTTTGGCGCCTGCCTTTGGCCCAGGGTGTGATCCTGAAAACCCGGGATCAAATCCCACGTCAGGCTCCTGGTGCATGGAGCCTGCTTCTCCCTCTGCCTGTCTCTGCCTCTGTCTCTGTGTGTGACTATCATAAAAAAATAAAAAAATAATAAAATTCAGATTATTTAAAAAAGAAAAAAAAAGAAAGCTCTTTGAGGGGTGCCTGAGTGGCTCAGTCAGTTGAGTGTCTGACTCATGATTTTGGCTCAGGTCATGATCTCAGGGTCGTGAGACTGAGCCCCACATAGGGCTCTGTGCTCAGCATAGAGTGTGCTTGTCCCTCTCCCTCTGCTCCCCCCACCCCTCTGCTCACACTCTCCCTCTCTCTCAAATAAATAAATAAATAAAATCTTAAACTCCCAAAACTCTGACATAAAACCATTCCAAGAATATAGCATGTCATTTAATTAAATTATGCTCAATGACATAAATTGCAGAGTATAATGCTGGGGCATAACGAATGGGCAATGAATGGTAGCTATAACTTAGTTTTGTTCAGCCAGTTATAGATTGATTGAATGAGTTGTTTTCAATAATTTGATGTGAAAAAGAAAATGCAATGGAATCTCATTGGTTTGAGTATCATCAATTCTCAATTTATGATCATTTATATAGGAAATAAACTAAAGTTTACGTTTGTTCGAGGAAAGGTCTTTCTAAGCAGTTTTGCAGAGAGAAAAGTTTAAAACTTTTTATGAAAACATAGTTTCAAACACCCTTGAGCGCTTTAGTATTTCAAAGCAATTTCTTCTAAAAGAATTAACCCAATTAAGTGAATTAACTACTTAATGTAGTTTTTAGAAATAGTTCTTAAAATATCTAAGAATATTGCAATTTCAGTTTTAGTATTTTTACTTATTCGAATTACCTTTTTATTTAATCTGAAATAGTTCAGTTACAAATTTGCATCACATGAGGAATTCTGACAACACTCAATTGATATTCTTCATGACAAAAAGTGCTTATTTACCAGAGTTCTTTTGTTGTTCTTTTTAAAAATTTAAGTAAGGCTTTTAAAACTGTGTATTCTAGGGATCCCTGGGTGGCGCAGCGGTTTGGCGCCTGCCTTTGGCCCAGGGCGCGATCCTGGAGACCCGGGATCAAATCCCACGTCAGGCTCCCAGTGCATGGAGCCTGCTTCTCCCTCTGCCTGTGTCTCTGCCTCTCTCTCTCTATCTGTGTGACTGTCATAAATAAATTAAAAAAAAAAAAAAGAACCTCTTAAAACTGTGTATTCTAAACCTGCTACTGAAAAAATAAAATCCCACATATTAGAGTATAGTGCTAGAACCATGAAAATCACATCACTTGGGGGAGAGTTAGGACATTTTAGTTTAGGCTTAACTCTGTCACCCTTGAGAGTCTTTTTCCACATTGATAAAATTAAGAAATATGCCCTGCATTTCTGTAACAGTGTTGTGATCCTAAAAGGAGAAAATGTGTATAAAAAAGTTAGAAATAGATTTAAAGTCCTAGGTAGGAAGATGGTGCTGAAGAGAGCTTTCTTCCAACAACTACCTGACTACTACAAATATATAATGTGATTGACTTTTCACCAATGAATTTGTTTTGTTACTCCTATTTATACCCAAATTATTCTAAAAGGTGGTACTACTTGGTCATATATCAGAATGTTTTCCAGAAAGGTGAGTAGCAATAAATTCAGTGACCCTTTGGAAGTATATAACTTTCACATTAATGCAGGTTATATTTGGAATTCCTACAATTGAATCTCCTTGGTTTCCCTTTGCCTCTTAGTCCCTAATGCTCATTTCTTACTAGTTTCTCCATTAACTTTAACAGATATGGACAATACTACAGGATTTCTCAGATTGCAACACAACTATGCCATTAGCAATAGGAGCTGTATTCTGGCCTCTTTGACCACACAGAAAATTTACTAGGGTCATGAACTAAGGGAAAGAGCACAGGGTGAGGCCGTCCTAGGAATGAATCCCAGCCCTTCAGTTTCTTGGCCATGTGAACTTAAGCCAGTTCCTTTGTCTTTCAAGTATCAATTTCTTTTTTCTCTCTAGAATGGGATAATAATCTGTTTTACACAGTTGAAGTGAAGATTAAATTATGATATTGCATATGTAGTGCAACATTTGACTTATAAGAGGTGCTTGTCGAGGAGGAAAAAGTAATTCTCCCACTAACCTGAGTTCTTAGCTGAGGCTGCCTGTAATAAAAGAATACCAAGAGAAAAAAAACAAGTATATTACCATTTATACCTCATCTATTTTCCCTGGAGACACCCAGGGAAAGATGAGTAACTCAAAGATGTGGCTTTAGAGTTTAGGCTTAAATGTCACTCTGATAGGGAAAGAGGAAGTGGAATGTTGGCTTCTTAGGGGAGAGTAAGTTTTTGGGAAGGTGAATGGGCCCTTAGAGAACAGATGAGAAGTGGGAGGTACAACAATTTGGGCCAAAGTTTGAGAGAGTGGTGCTGACTTCTAATATCTCCTATGATGAGAGTCAATCTTCCCTGGTGGATGAAACTCCTGGGGTGGAGATTTATGACAGTTGAGTTCCTCCTGGAAAGATCTGTCTTTAGGCACATGAGAGTTTAGGGAATGCCTTTTCCTGCATTTGCCGTGAAATGCTTTGCATTTCAAGTGCCACAGCGCAAAATAATCAGTATACAAAAGTGGTGTATTTGAGGTGGCATATTCTGCTATCCTTCATGCTCAATACAAGTTGTGTTTTGCCTTCCTTACCTTTAGGGGAACTTTGAGAGCTCCACTGGGGCAGTTCCTAGACCAGTGAGGAGGAATGAAGAGATTGTCTTTCCATAGGTACAGCAGTGGAGAATTATTTGCTTTGAATGGAATGTCAAAGCAAATTCAGTTGCCTACTTTCCGAGGCCTAGTCTCTAATTCACTCATCCCCACAGAGACTTCTGCTATACAGCATTGATTTCAAGCTTCAGACTTTGACAATTAAATGCTCTCAAAAACTTGCTCATTTTTGGTTGCAGAAATATATGCTAATATCCTGGGGTAGTTTTTTATCTATCGGTACTCTAGATTTAGAGACTAGACCAACCAAATTAGCATCAGCCATGAAAATAAAATCTTCTACAGAATTCCTTAAGCCATATTCAAAGCGGAGACAAATTTTAAATGCTTTGTTATTTTAGGAAAGATGTTATATATTTAAGATTTTATATGATCCTTTCATGTAATTTGCCTCACATTTTATTCTTATTTTATACTACTTGTAAATATAAATGAGAAATTTATGAAGACAGTATTTAAAATAGAGAACATTTAAAAATTTATTGAAGAAGCTCTCATTTTTTAACTTATAGCTGCTGCATGATTCTAACAGAAATGAAGTAAACACCAGGTAATAACAAACATTAAATAGTACTAGGTGCCAGTACACCCTCCTTCCTCCCCCACTGTTTGTTTCCCATTGTGAAGTTGTGTTTTCCCACTCTGAAGTAGCCTGACTAGTATGCTTTTGATTATACATTTCAAGTTGAATTTATTTATATAAGTCACTAAGCTTGTTTTTGTTTTGTAGTATTTTCAACTAAAGAGCAAATTTTACCTTGTTACCAGATTCAGAAGAAGATGTTGTTGAAACTCCTGCTGTGTCCCATGATGAACACACACACCAAGAGATAAAGGGCCAGAAAACACTGGCAACTCCTGCAGTTCGCCGCCTAGCAATGGAAAACAATGTAAGTTTTCTTAATATTTAAATGTGAGATTACATAGAAAATAGACATTTGTATTGATGAGAGATTAGCCAACTATTCCACGAAGAGATAGGTCAAGTTGAGATTAAAGGAAAATGATAGCATGTATTACTGAAAAGTGATTGTTGCAGAAAAGCACCAGTGAGAAAGGAGAGATTGCAAGCTTATTTACTTATAATAATTGAGCTGTGTGGTTTTATTATTTTTCCTTAGAGTCTAATAATAAGCCTACCATCTATTGAACACTTGTAAATACTAGTGTCTTAGATCCCTAGAAGCCAGTTTGAGACAGGGATTTGGATGTGTGTGATGGATTGATTGAGGGAGGGAACACCTTTTCTGGGAATGAGGGAAGCAGATAGGGAAGGGAAGAGAAGAAAAATGGGTCGCGCAAGGGTGTGGTCTTAAGGATCTGATCCAGTGGGGTTGGGGAAAACCATTGAATTATCCTGATTTGAGACAAAGAGCAGCCGTTTTGTATTCCCTCTTATCAGCCAGTCATTGGTGCTTACCCCCAGGGCAAGGTGGCTTCCAGGTTTTGGAATCAGTCTGTATGCATTATCTCAGGTAATCTTTAAAATAACTCTGTTGGGGCAGCCCGGGTGGCGGTGGCTCAGCGGTTTAGTGCCGCCTTTGGCCCAGGGCTTGATCCTGGAGACCGGGCTCCCTGCATGGAGCCTGCTTCTGTCTCTGCCTGTGTCTCTGCCTCTCTCTCAATCTCTGTCTCTCATGAATAAATAAATAAAAGTTTTAAAAAATAAATAAAATAACACTGTTAAGATATGGGGGCTATTTAGAAACTAGGACAGGTAAAGTAAGGTCCAGGGTCACACAGCTAAAATAGTGGTAGAGCCAGGATTCTGAAGGAGGTCTCTGTGACTCCAAATCCAGTACCCTGAATCGTTATATACTGCCTCAACAATTATTGCCTCCATTATGTGAGCTCTTATGAGTCAGACACTGTGTGCACACATATTCTCTCCAATCCTCACAACCATCCTGCAGGGTAGTTTGAATTACCGGTTTTCAGCTGAGAAAGGGCAGAGAAGTTGTTTAAATTGCCTAAAATCAAGTAAGTAGGTGAACTGGAGATTTGAACACATCTTCGTTTTCCAAACTTGGGTTCTTTGCACTATGCCCCATAATGCAGGGTTTTTATCTGTTTTTGAGAAAGGTAGTTAAGTTACAGTGAGAAAAAACAAAAGCTTATATTTTAGAAATATGTAGTATGTCATTAAAATGTTCATATCCCTTCAGACAATTATCCTATCATTGTGAGATTATCCCAAAGAAATAATCTAGGATACATTCTTCCAAGTGTTTTATATAACCAAAAGTGAGGGGATCCCTGGGTGGCTCAGCGGTTTAGCGCCTGCCTTTGGCCCAGGGCGTGATCTTGGAGTCCCAGGATCGAGTCCCACGTCGGGCTCCTTACATGGAGCTTACTTCTCCCTCTGCCTGTGTCTCTGCCTCTCTCTCTCTCTCTATGTCTCTCATGAATAAGTAAATAAAATCTTAAAAAAAAAAAAAGTGAGAAGGCACATGTGTTCAAAATGAGGGATATGCTTGAGTAAATTATGTTACTTTTATGAATTGAGTTTGTTTTAAAATTAAAAACCAAAAAAAAAAAAATAAAATTGAAAACCAATGGCATTTAAAAAAAATGGCATTTACAGTTATTTGAAATTACCTAAAAATTATTTAAATTGGGCAGCCTGGGTGACTCAGATGTTTAGCATCGCCTTCCGCCTGGGGCATGATCCTGGAGACCCCGGTCGGGACCTCTGCGTGGAACCTGCTTCTCCCTCTGCCTGTGTCTCTGCCTCTCTCTCTCTATGTGGGTCTCTCATGAATAAATAAATAAATCTTAAAAAAAACAATATTTAAATTCCCAGAATTCTTTGTTATTTTTAGTATATGTGCAGCCGGAGCAAGCACCCAGAATTCCTTGTTATAAACTAAATGTTTGACATGAGAAAGTCCTTTATTCTTCTGAAGTCATCCTTAGAGAAGCAATAATACAAATGATGCAGGACTTAAATTGAGAAATTAATTAATACACAGTAAGTATGAGGTTTTCACCTAAGCTTATGTCTTTTTATTTAAACAGAATTAAATTTAACGAAGATATGTTATCTCTGTAACCAAACATAGAAGGGGATTAAACAAAGTCAGATCACAGTGTTTACAGAGAGAGCCCTTTTAAGGTTCCTGGACCCAATTCCAATATATATATTGGGGGTAGGGAAGGTTCCTACAAAAACAAGCAATTTTCTGGATAACCAACTGGGTATCCTACACTTCAGGTCCATTCTGACAGTGTCTGTTGATAGTGTCAGAGTTGATGGGTTAATGATTCCATCCTGCAAGACTGCCCACACTACCCCCAACACTCCTGATGCCCTCAAGCCATGTTATCACGTATGCTTCTGACCTATTGGCTATGCATGAGAGGTCCCCACAATCCCCTCTTTGGGTTTGATTAATTTGCTAGAGCAGCTCATAGAATTTAGGAAACCCATTTACTCACTAGGTTATCGGTTTATTTTAAAAGAATACAACTCCAGAACTGCCAGATGGAGGGCCACAAAGCAAGGTATTTTGAAAGAGGTGAAGAGTTTCCATGCCCTCTTGAGGGTGCGCCACTCTTTCCAAATCTCCATATGCTCAGCAACCTGGAGATTCTCTAAACCCAGTCCTTTTTTTGGGGTTTTCTTTGAAGGCTTCATTACATAGGCATCAGTTGTCCATTTACAACTGATTCAGCCTCCTTCCCAGCTCTCTTCCCCTGACTTTGGAGTAGGGATAGTGAAAGTTTCAAACCTCTAATCACAGGATTGGTTCCCCTGGCAACCAGCCTCCATTTTTAGGTTCCCAAAGGGCTTTCCCAAAGTTCATTAATATAGCAAAAGACACCTCTTATCACAGGTCCTTTAAAGTATTTTAAGAGTTCTATGCCAGAAATGGGGAGGAAGACCAAAACCATACTTTTTTTTTTTTTTTAAAGATTGTATTTCTTTATTCATGAGAGAGAGAGAGGGGCAGACATAGGCAGGGGAGAAGCAGGTTCCCTGTGGGGACCCCGGGGATCACGCCCTAAGCTGAAGGCAGACTTTCAACCACTGGGCCACCCAGGCGTCCCAAACATACTTACTATAAATCAGTCTCACAATGAGTGTCTAGTGGAAAATGGAATTATGTCATTTCTGTAAAAAGCAACAATAAAACATATTTGACACTTAACTTGAAACTCATACTCTAAATACGCCTCAGTAAAGTGAATTTCAGTGTTTTTACAACTATCAGAAAAAAAACTAAGAGAGCTTTTATATGATTATTTTAACTGTTACTAGTTTACCGATGGCCAAGTTGTCAGGAACATGCTATAAGGGCGACTTTCCAAAGTGTCAGCTTTATACAGTCATAACGCAAAGTTAACAATTGTAAAGCAGGTTCAAGATTCCAAACTCAATGACATTTTTACTAATTTAACTTGGCTTCATACATGTCACACAGCAAACAAGATAAAGGGTAAGAAATCACACTCCAAGTCAGTCCCTGAGTGCACAGTTGAGGTGAAAGGTTCTCCCTCTCTGGTCTGGGTCAGCTCTTGGCATATGCTGGTTACTATGTTCAGCCAGTGGAGGATCTCTCATGTTTAGAAATCAGTCGCGTGAACCTTCAGTGGAAGTTGCGGTTTTAATGCAGTCAGATGTGAAAGGGTCAGCATCTGGAGAGTCAGTTTGCCCTAGGGGTCTAACCTTTTTAAAGGTTAATTAGTCTTAGGTCTTGGCAGGCCTCTTCCGCTTCTAATGACTGTTAGTTCCTGGTTCTTCCAGGTTCACATGACCTTACTGATTATTCGTCCTTAGTATTGTGCTGTTTTTGGTGATGTCTGGTCTTAGCTGCAATGCCTTTGGCTGCTTATGTCACTGCTTGACATGAGCGAATCCATCATGCTCTCTACAAAAGGTGGGAAACATTGCTCTACATTTGCGATAGTGTTTGACTCTTATACAGTCTCAAAAAAAAACTAGTAAGAACTATGCAAGAGGGCAGCCCAGGTGGCTCAGCGGTTTAGCACCCCGTTCAGCCCAGGGCCTGATCCTGGGGTCCCAGGATCAAGTGCCGCGTCAGGCTCCCTGCATGGAGCCTGCTTCTCCCTCTGCCTGTGTCTCTACACCTCTCTCTCTCTCTCTGTCTCTCATGAATAAATAAATAAAATCTTTTAAAAAAACTATGCAAGAAGTTTAAAAGTAGTTGACTGTTTATAAAATGTAAGTTTTCATAGGTATGGATTATATACAGTGTAGATACTGCATTGTTACCACATGGGCAAATTAACATATACAAAAATAACAAATGATTACTTTTGGAGGGTAGCTGTATAGTTTACAGCATTCTGTTAAGATAAAATGTTATTTCCTTATACAAATTCATATCGGGCAGAGATTACTTTTACCTTCAATTGATTAAATTCCATTTAGAGACCTTAATGATAAATATGTTTCTAGATAGTTTTTGATGTAGGAAAGTGTTGGGGTTGGGAATAAACAGTCAAGAAAGAATTCTTGAGACGGCTTTGGTGCAAAAAGGTGGTTTTATTAGAGCATAGGGACAGGACCCATGGGCAGAAGGAGCTGCTTTGGGGTCATGAGGAGTGGCTCATTTATATATTTTCAAGTTCAGAGGTTAGGGATCAAGTGAATCTCTAAGGGATTTGGGAAGGAAGTTTTCCAGGACCTTGAGGGAGCTAGCTGTTGTTGGGAAAAGGTGACTTATTACTTACTGCCTAATAAAACCCTAGTCATGGGACCCTTCAGATGTGTATCAGTGGGCCATATGCTTGGGGGATGATTGCCAAAATATATCTTGAGGGGTAGAAATAAAGGAAGTTTCCAAAGGAATTTTTATACATTAAAGAAGACTTAAGGATCTGGGGAGTCAGGATAGTGTGAAGCAGTTTAGCCTTTTGCCCTTAGCAAAGTATTAACATTGAGGCAGCTGAGTTCCTAGAGGAAGGTCACTCTGCTTTCAAGGACTTGTCAATGGGCTGTAAGTAGTGAGGACATTTGCCTGGGTGACTGGGTGACTCTGGGGTTGGGCGTCTGCCTTTGGCTCAGGGCGTGATTTGTCCCATGTCGGGCTGGAGCCTGCTTCTGCCTCTGGAGCCTGCTTTTCCCCCCGCCTGTGTCTCTGCCTCTCTCTCTGTGTGTCTCATGAATAAATACATAAAATCTTTAAAAAGAAAAGTAGTAAAGACATTTAATTTTTCTTTTGCCGTCATTTCCCACATTGGTTTTATTTTTACCATTAAAATGTGCTCTCCCCCCCCTTTTATTAGATTAAGCTGAGTGAAGTTGTCGGCTCAGGAAAAGACGGCCGAATACTCAAAGAAGACATCCTCAACTATTTGGAAAAGCAGACTGGAGCTATATTACCTCCTTCGCCCAAAGCTGAACTAGTGCCACCTCCACCAACACCAAAAGGCAAAGTTACTCCTATGCCAGCATCAAAACCTCCAGCATTCACAGGCAGAGACAGAACGGAGCCCATAAAAGGTAACGGCGGTAATAGAAGACCGTGCTGAAAGTTACTGGGGAAATTTGCATCAGTACATCTGGGCACCTGATGTGTGTGTTCAGTTCTTGCTGAGTGGAAAATTCCAAGTCATCATACGTTTTTTTGTTGGTGACATAATTTTCCCAGGAAGAGTTTCAGTCTCCACTGTTAGTTTCTGAAGAGTAATATGTTAGCGCGTTTCTTTCCTGGAATGTAAACTTGTATACTGATAATTGTTCTGAATTGTCCTGAAGACTCAGGATGTTTGTTGTAAACATAATTTTTAGTTAGCTTCAAAATGACTAGATCTGATTTGTCATTTATAAACTCAGGATGTGTGTTTGCAGGAAAGCCATAAGGTAAATATATGGTTTGCATCCTTTTATTTTATTTTATTTTTTTGTTTGTTTGGTTGTTTGCATCCTTTTATTTATTTGTTTATTAAAGATTTTATTTATTTATTCATGAAAGACAGAGAGAGAGAGGCAGGGACACAGACAGAGGGAGAAGCAGACTCCATGCAGGGAGCCTGACGTGGGACTTGATCCCTGGACTCCAGGATCAGGGCCTGGGCCAAAGGCAGGTGTTAAACCACTGAGCCACCCAGGGTTTCCCTGTTTGCATCCTTTTAGATTTTTTTTATATATCACAGCCTTAAAGGCAGTTACCTCTTAATATTATTATACCTGACACTGGGTACTCTGCTACAGTCCGTAGCTTCAGTGTTGGAATGAGTGTGTCTTTCAATTACATAATGAAGATGGTAGCCTCAAGAGGGAGAGTTTAGTTGAAAAAGTAAATGACATTAGAAAACCCTCAATTTTAGTAAAAAGGTTTAAAGGATTTAAGAATTTAAAAATAAAGGGACACCTGGGTGGCTCAGTCGGTTAAGCTTCTGACTCTTGGTTTCAGCTTAGGTCATGATCTCAGGGTCATGAGATTGAGAGCCCCTTGGGCTCTGTGCTCAGCACTGAGTCTGCTCAGAGTTTCTCTCTCCCTCCCCGACCATGCACACACTTGTGCTCTCTCTTTCTAAAATATTTAAATATATATTTATTATTATTGTGTATATTATTAAATATATATATGTGTGTATTTTATGTTTTCTAGGCTTTCACAAAGCAATGGTCAAGACCATGTCTGCAGCTCTGAAGATACCTCATTTTGGATATTGTGATGAGGTTGACCTTACTGAATTGGTTAAGTTAAGAGAAGAATTAAAACCCATTGCTTTTGCTCGTGGAATTAAACTCTCCTTTATGCCCTTTTTCTTAAAGGTAAGATTTCATTAATTTCAAACAGTGTTTGAAGAGGACAATAAAATTTTGTTTTGTAAATATGCAGTATGTTAACTATTTATTCAGATAAAAATATTACTTCTCACCATATCATATAGTTTTTAAAATGTACAAGTGCACTATTTCTTTTCTTAGGAATTTATAAAATTGAAATGTGTGTCATATTTTTATCAGCTCATCTCTTTGAGCTAGATAATAGTCTTGCCAGTTAAGTAAAGCCTTTAATTCTGAAAGGATCACTCCAGCAAAATCTTGATTTGAACAAAAACAAGACTTGGTATTGATCTTGTTTATCACTGACATATACTCATTTTCATTTATTCAACAAACTTATATTGAGAGTCTTGGGAATCATTTCTAGTCCAAGACCTTGGGACCAGTGTAAAACAAGACCATCAGCTGACTGTAAGCAGCTCAGTGTCTAGTTCATATTAACAACCATGTATGAAGCAGGTACTGTGTGGCAGGCTATACGAGCATACAATGTACATTATCTCTTTTAATTCTCAAAATAACCGACACGCAGCTATTGCTAATTTCACTTTCCATTTAAGGAAATGAGGGCTTAGGGACACCTGTGTGGCTCAGTCGGTTAAGCGTCTGCCTTTGGCTTGGGTTGTGATCCTGGGATCCTGGGATTGAGCCCCACATCGGGCTCCCTGCTGAGTAGGGAGCCTGCTTTTCCCTCCCCTCCCTACTTGTGAAATCTCTGTTGCTATCTCTTTCTCTCAAATAAATAAAATCTTAAAAAAAAAAAATAGGGCTTAGATAAATTGAGAAATCTGTCAAGGATATTTAGCTAATAAGTGGAAAAGCTAAGTTTTAGCTTCTGGTCTATTTTACTCAAGATGCATATTGGTGTCTCTAACTCCAGTGTGTCTTCCCTCCATCCCTTTCTCCATACCACACCAAGACAAATCTTCTGTAAATAAAATTACCATACTATTCCCTGATTCTTTCCAGTGGTCTCTTTCACTGTCTTCAGGTTTGTTTCTAAACTCCTTAATTTGGGATATAAATATGATTACAAGTCTCTGCTTCCTACCTTTCCAGCTTTATCTCTCAGGCACTCCTTCTGTTCTGGCAATAAGCCTGCATAGTTGGTGGAATATGTGACTTCACATGAAATGCCCCCTCTTCATTTGATCAAATACGTGCACATCTGAAAAGCCAAATTCTGTCCAGGAATAGCCTCCTCCGGAAGCCTTCTGTGGCTGTTCACAGTTTTGAGTTAAATACTTCTGTTCCCTGTTGCAGTTTATCTCAGTGCAGTACAAGTGTTTGCTCAGTTTTCTCTTCACTGCGTGCTGAGCCTTGAGGAACAGAAACTGTTCTTTACCTTCATTATTTTAGCAGCTACCCAAACAACCAACTGAATGGTCTGCGAACATGAGATGTAATAGATGTCTCTATAAATGAGTCCTCTGGGCTATATGTTAGCTATAGAGTCATTTTTTAAGAGATATAGTAATTGAATCAGGTGGATGAAATCACCCAAATTGTGCGCAAATGAGAAAAGAAGGCTAAGGATTTTACAGTAGTATTTAAGGGATAGATAGAAGTTGAGTTGAAAAAGTGAGTGAGGTCAGCAGTATGACAACTGAAAAACCAGGAAAGTGTCTCCCAGAAGCCAAAGTGTACACTCTTGCTGTATAACAGACCAGTCCTAAATTCACTGGTTTAAAACAACAGTCATTTATTATTTCTCATGAGTCCACAGGTAAGCAAGGCCAGTCTGCAGATGTTGGCAGAGCTTACTTCTGTGTCTACAAACAGCTAGTAGGTTGGCTAGGGGTGGGCTAGGGTAAGACAGCCTGGGTAGGGATGACTCATTTCTCTCCCTTATGTTTTTCTTAAAAGATTTTTATTTATTTATTTGACAGAGAGAGAGAGAGCATAAGCACAGGGAGCCAGGGGGAGCAGCAGAGGGAGAGGGAGAAGCAGGCTCCCCGCTGAGTAGGAAGCCTGATGTGGGGCTCCATGCCAGGACTCTGGGATCATGACTTGAGCCAAAGGCAGCCGCTTAACCAACTGAGCTACCCAGGTGCCCCTCCCTTATGTTTTTCTCAGCTACCCAGCATGCTAACCTGCATGTAGTCTTGTAGTACTGGCAGGGATGAAGGAGAAATGCTCAAGCACTTTTTCCAAGTTCTGCTGTATCAAGTTTGTTCTTATCTCATTGACCTAAGCAGCTCACATGACTGAGCTCGGTCTGGTGGAAAGCACCACCAAAGGGCTTGTATACATGGGGGCATGAACCACTGGGGCCATTTATTCACCCTCTCACACCAAGAGAGAAGAAAAAAGTTGTGATGGGGGACACCTGGCTGGCTCAGTCAATTGAGCATGTGACTCTCTTGATCTCAGGGTACCGACTTTGAGCCCAATGTTGGGTGTGGAGATGACTTAAAAATGAATTACAAAGCCCTTTAAGAAAAGAGATAGGATGGGAACAGGCTTTTGGATTGCTAATTAAGAGGTCACAAGTGTTGGACAGCCCTGTGGCTCAGTGGTTTAGGGCTGCCTTCAGCCTAGAGCGTGATCCTGGAGTCCCAGGATGGGTCCCACATCAGGCTCCCTGCATGGAGCCTGCTTCTCCCTCTGCCTGTGTCTCTGCCTCTCTTTCTCTGTGTGTCTCTCATGAATAAATAAATAAAATCTTAAAAGATAATAATAATAAAATAAAAAATAAAAATATCTGGTAGAAAGCGGATAGACCATAGGCACAGAAGGCAGGTATGGTGGTGGTTCTGGGTAGATTAAGGAAAGTTCCACCTGCCCTCCTCTCCTTCTGGGAAAACTGGAGCAGGTTTGTAGGCTGAGAGAAAGAGCTGGAAAATTAAGAATTAAAAATATGTGGGTGACAAGTGACAAAAACATGTGAGTGACACTGGTGATGTCTGTTTTGAAACAAGGAGAGACCAGCTTTTTAATATACTGGATTTATTTTATTATTGTTTGTCTTCATTCTTGCAGTCTAAGTGAAATACCTGATCTTTATTTTATTTTGAAAATAAAATTTAGTACGCTTCATTTTAAAATGACACTTTTTTCCTGCCTATATAAGTTTCAGAACTTTTGGAAAATACTACAATGTATTGTATAGGGGAAAAAATGACCTTTTATCTGGGAACATACACCTTATTTTTTCTTTTACAAAATTTGGATTGCACTCAAAATATTGTTTTTATGTGTAACACTTTAACCTTAATTATGGATTTTTATATAAAGAAGATTAAAGTTGCAGTTGTCAAATGCTTTGTAAAACTTGCCTTAACTCTCTAGTACAAGGAAAAAAATGTTTTTTTTTTTTTTTACCACTGGCCCACAGACAAAAATAACACTTTAACACAGTGCATATAGAGAACTCTTAATTGGACTAAATGAAGGCCAGGGTCAGGGGTAGATTTTAAGTACAATCTTAAGTATTTTTATTTACCTATTTTGTAAGTGTAATTAATCCAAGGCATGACAATCAAATGCAATGTGTAAACTTTGATTAGATCCTGCATGGGTAGGGATCCCTGGGTGGCTCAGCAGTTTAATGCCTGCCTTCGGCCCAGGGCATAATCCTGGAGACCCGGGATCGAGTCCCACATCGGGCTCCCCACGGGGAGCCTGCTTCTCCCTCTGCCTGTGTCTCTGCCTCTGTCTTTGGGTCACTCATGAATGAATGAATAAAATCTTTAAAAAAAAAAAAGATCCTGGATGGGCAGAAAAACAGGTATAAAAGAACATTCAGGGGACAGTAAGGAGACTCTGAATATGGACAGAAGAGGAATGGTACTAAGTAAGAAGGAAAAAAGACGAAGGGGGAAGAAAGCAGAGAAATGTCATGCCATCAATTCAGGGAGGTGGACTATAAGTAGAGATGTTCACACCAGCTCTGCCCTTCACTTGGCCAAGGTCACCAAGTGGAACACTAACCTCTAATGGTCAGTGCCCTTGGAAACCCTATTTGCTTGTTCTTTTCTACATAGGGAAACAGCTTACTGCCTTTTTGTTTTAATTCAGTGTGTCTTTGAACTTCCAAGTTTGCCTCTCATGTAAGATTCTATGTGGAAAATTCTTCTCATGTAGAATTTAGACATTTTGTTTGGTACTTTGGTCAGTCTCTACAGTTGCTTGGAAAAATCTCTTTGATGCTTAGAAGCTGCCTGACAATTTTATCATTTATTAATAAGTGATTAGGGTGACCTAGTTCCACATTGTTTGAAGGTGACATTGGAAGTAATATGCCTAGGTACATAAAGACTAGAAATTAAGCTCAGTATAAATAAGGTTCTCTCTCTCCCTCCTTCAACATCTGTTACTGCTTCCAATTCCCTTTCTGAGTTAAGAGTGCTAATGTTGCGTTCTCTTTCTGTTAAACAGGCTGCATCCTTGGGACTGCTACAGTTTCCCATCCTTAATGCTTCTGTGGATGAAAACTGCCAGCACATAACTTATAAGGTTGGCTCTGTGTTGTAGAACAGTTCTTGTTATAAATAGAAAATGGTGCAATGTTCTTATAGGTTAGAAAAGCTTCTTTTCTCACTTGAATAGTGAGTTAAGACTAGAATTAAAGGTATGGGATAAAATAGTAAACTATAATTTGTTACTGTTACTGGTTTTACTGGTTAGTAATGATACTGTTCAGATATATTGAGTACCATTTTTAAACCTCTTTGGTTTATTGCTTAAAATGGCTGTCAGGCAATGGATTATGTTAACCATCCTACATATCCTCCCCTGAAAGATAACCTTTCCCAAAATAGAGTTCCTGCAGTTTTTAAAACAAGAATAATTTAAATGGAAATAGGAAAAGTAATGAAAGTACTTTGGATTTATCTCTTGAACACAAAGTTTTATAAATGTTGGTACATATTGATAAATATTGCCCACAAAGTCTTATATATCCACTAATAGTGAATGGAAATAGCCTGTTGCCCAGTATGCTTACCAACAAAAAATTATCTCTTTCCAAAAATTTTTTTAAAGATTATTTAAATCATCACCAGTCTGATAGAAATAGTTTTTAGTGATTGTTTTTATAAGACAGTGAGGATTGATCCTTTCTTTTCTGTTAACCTTTGAAAAGGCCTACTCTATAATCTTTTTTTTTTAGGCTTCTCACAACATTGGGGTAGCAATGGATACTGAGCAGGGGCTAATTGTCCCTAATGTGAAAAATGTTCAGATCTGCTCCATATTTGAGATCGCCACTGAGTTGAACCGCCTTCAGAAATTGGGCTCTATAGGCCAGCTCAGTACCACTGATCTGGCCGGAGGAACATTTACTCTTTCCAACATTGGATCAGTGAGTAACAGAAATGTTCAAATTCATAAACCATAACTTAAGGTTTCTAATCACATGTTCAATTAAAAATATAATATGTCAAAAATATATATATAATATTTCATTTGCCATTTATTCCTCAAAAGCTTAATTTTTCTATTCTTCCTTTTTACTTTTATTTATTTTTTTTTAGATTGGTGGTACCTATACCAAACCAGTGATACTGCCACCTGAAGTAGCAATTGGGGCTCTCGGATCAATTAAGGTGTGTTTATTAAATAATTGACAAGAGTTTTAGCTAATTGGGAGAGTAAACACAAAAGAGTGACCATTTCTGGGGATCCCTGTGTGGCTCAGCAGTTTGGCGCCTGCTTTTGGCCCAGGGCATGATCCTGTGGTTCATGCCAGGCACAGATGTGAGTCTTTATGGATAATCACAAATATATAGCCAATCTGCTCCTATCAAAATATCTTTATTTTTGAATACCAAAGATAATGGTAAGCTAGTCCAAATTATTATTTGTAACAAAGGGAGACACCATTTAGAGCATTTTTCTCAAACTTCACTCTGTTCAAGACTCATTGGGAGTACTAGTTAAAAATGTAGTATTCTTGGGATGCCTGGATGGCTCATTTGGTTAAGTGTTCAACTCTTAATTTTGGCTCAGGTCACGATCTCAGGGTTGTGAGATGGAGCCCTCTGCATTGGGCTCCGTGCTGGGCATAGAGCCTCCTTAAGATTCTCCCTCTCCCTCTGTCCTTCTCCCCCTCTCTCTTTTTAAAAAAAAGAAAAGAAAAAAAAAACTGCATCCTTGCCCTTGGGGACAGAGCCCCCAGAACTATTTTATTTTATTTTATTTTATTTTTTATTATTATTTTTTTACAATTTTTAAAAAAGATTTTATTTATGTATTCATGAGAGACAGAGAGAGAGAGGCAGAGGGAGAAGCAGGCTCCATGCAGGGAGCCCACCTGGGACTCTACCCCGAGTCTCCTGGATCACAACCCGGGCCAAAGGTGGTATTAAACCGCTGGGCCACAGGGGCTGCCCCAGAACTTACATTTTAAACAAGAACCCAGGACATCTGGATGGCTCAATGGTTGAACTCTGCTTTTGGCTCAGGGCATGATCCTGGAGTTCAGAGATTGAATCCCACATCGGGTTTCCTGCATGGAGCCTGCTTCTCCCTCTGCCTATGTCTCTGCCTCTCTCTTTGTGTCTGTCATGAATAAATAAATAAAAATCTTTTTTAAAAAATTTAAAAAATAAATAAACAAGAACCCAGGTGGTTCCAACATGAGTGATCTGTGGCCATGTTTTAGGAGACACTGACTTAGAATAGGGGTTGCAATGATTCTTAATCTTGGCTACACATTAGACTCATCCAGGGAGCTTGAAAAAAATGCCTGAGCTCACCCTATACCAACTGAATCAGAACTGAGGGGTTGTGGATAGAGCTTGGACATCTCTATTAACTCAAGACTGAGAACCACCAGAATCAAAGAGATAAGCTCTTGAATTACATTTCAGTACCGCCATTATTAAATGTCATCACCATATTGACTTTGGTTTTGGTCTTCGTGTTTTCAGAAGAATCTTTCTTTTTTGTATATATTATGCTTCCACACTGAGCATCTGAGACTGTCTTTCATGAGCTTTTGCTTTTGTATTGGCATCCAAAACTTCCACAGATACCTTCATTTAGCCTTTTTTTTAAAAAAAGTATTTTACTTATTTATTCATGAGACACAGAGAGATGCAGAGACATAGGCAGAGGGAGAAGCAGACTCCATGCAGGGAGCCTGATGCGGGACTCAATTACAGGATCCCGAATTCAGGACCTGAGCCACAGGCAAGACGCTCAACCACTGAGTCACCCAGGTGCCCCTCATTCAGCCTTTGATTTGCTTTCTTCCTGATAATACTTTAGCTGTTATGTTAGATGCTCCTTTGTAGCATCTACTTTCCCTTCTGGCACATAGAGGAGATAGGGATAAAAACCCAAAAACATATAGTGGGCTCTGTTCTTTGCAAATCAGAAGTTTCTCTGAATATAACTTCCCTGTCACCCATTTTCCACCCAGCAGGAATTCAGCGTTTGAATCTCACAGAATTCTGACTTTCTGTAGATGCTAAGGTTTCTTTCATACCTATTTGACAAAGTTTTGTTTTTTCTTTTCCTTAAAGAGATATATTTTCCTCTGGATTTTATATATATATAAGTGTGGTAAAATATACATAACATAAATTTGCCATTTTAATATGTAAAGTTCAGTGGCATTAACTACATTCACATGTTTATAACCATCACCACCATCCCCCACTGGAACTTTGTCACTGTCCCAACCTGAAACTCTGTGTGTATATACCACATTTTGTCTGTTCAGCTGTAATCAATATTTGGGTTTCCTTTCTTTGGTTCTTGTGCATAGTGCTGCTATGAAGAGTGGTATGCAGATATCTTCAATAAACGTGTTTTTACCAAATCATTTTACCCATGATTTCATCAAGCTATGAAGAATAGTTCTTGAAGTATAAATCTCATATTTATTGGGTAGGAACAAATAGTGCATATTTAATTCTTTTTTTTTTTTTTAATTTATTTATTTATGATAGTCACAGAGAGAGAGAGAGAGAGGCAGAGACACAGGCAGAGGGAGAAGCAGGCTCCATGCACTGGGAGCCCGACGTGGGATTCGATCCCGGGTCTCCAGGATCGCGCCCTGGGCCAAAGGCAGGCGCCAAACCGCTGCGCCACCCAGGGATCCCCAGATTTAATTCTTTTCTCTCATTTTATCATCTCTCCTTTGCTATTTTCTGCTTTCACTGTAAATTTTGAACTTGTTGATAAATGGTCTAAGTCACTAACATCTCCACACAACTCAGTTCTCAGTCCTTATCTTCCTTGACCTATTAGCTGCACTGGAGTCAGTTGACCAACACCACTTGCTTGGAAAACATTTCACCGTGACTTGCAGAATACCTTACTGTTATGGCTTCCCTCCTGTCTACCGCTTGTTCCCTCTGAGGCTCCTTTGCCCAGATCTCTTTATCTCCTAATCACTAAGTATTGGAGTACCCCAGGACTCAGTTCTGGCCCTTTTCTTTATTTGATCCCATCTTAGAATGGTAAGTGCCATTTTTATGCTGTTAACACCCAAGTTTATATCTCCAGACCTGACCTCTGCTTTGATCTACAAATTGATATTATCCTGGTTGGATATCTAATGAGGCATCTTGAATTTTCCATTCCTTTCCTTACCACCACCACCCTCAAACTTGCTCTGTCTGGAGTTTTCCCCTTTTGGTAAATGGCTCAGAAACCTCCAGTAGCTTCTCATCTCACTCAGATTCAAAGCCAAAGTAGCTGCATTGGCCTACATGGCCCTGCACTGGTGCTACTCACTGTAATTGGGGACCTATGTGAGCCATGACTGTTGTATCCAGACTGTGAGATCAGTACAGAAACGGGTCTTAGATACTTTCACAGCAATTTGACAGGTGACTTAGGTCTATTGAATTTAATAAGAAGTTAGGGCTTGTGTTTTATATCTTTTTAATTTTTTTTTTTAAGATTTATTTATTTGAGAGAGGGTGAATGTGTGCAAGTGGGAGAGGAGCAGAGGGAGAGAATCTTCAAACAGACTCCTCTCTGAGCATGGAGTCCCATGCAGGGCTCAATCCCAGGATCCTGAAGTCATGACCTGAGTTGAAATCGAGAGTTGCTTAACCAACTGAGCCACCCACGCACCCCTTTAATAATTTACTTTTAATGTTATTTAAAAGTAGCTTGCAATGGAATAGAAATTTTTTAAAAATAACAATAGTTCCTTTACCAAAGACAGATTGAGAAGCATTGCTCTTGACAGTATGTCCTGCCTTCCCCCCTTGCTCTGTGACCATGTCTCATACCTCTGACCTCCCCTCCACTGCAGCCATCCTGTCTACCTTGCTGTTCCTCCAACTGTCCAGTCACGCTTCCCTTCTGTATCTCTCGGAGTATCCATCTGACTTTTTTCCTCACTGCCTTCAGTGAGGAAACCTTGGTGAGGCTTTCCCTGCCCACCCTGTCAAACAAAAAATGCCACCTGTATTTAGCTCCTACCTACTCTCTCTCCCCTTTCCACATTGGCTTTATTTTTCCTTCGTACTTTTCACTACCTAACATGCTATGTATTTTATTTTATTTATCTTAATTGTCTCTCTCTACATTATAATGTTAGCTCCAAGAAGGCAAGGGTTGTTATTTGTTTGGTCACTGGTTTAGCCCTACAGATGAGACAAGTACCTGGTACATAGTAGGTGCTCAATAAATACATGTTAAATAATTGAAATCTGAGATGAGATTTACTGTATATATGGTAATTGTACAGGGGACAGGAAGTACTTTGGAAAAACTGAAAGCTCGAGGCAAATATAAAAATGGGGAAAATTTTCAAGTCATTTGGGATGCCCATTTCTTCCCTGTTACAGGGAGGGGGGCGGTTATTTAATCTTTCACCATTGCTGTTGCTATAGCTTGCACTTCAAGCAAGTGAAGGCTGACTCTGTTCTTTGCCTTATTTCTAGGCCCTTCCCCGATTTAACAACAAAGGAGAAGTATATAAAGCACAGATAATGAATGTGAGCTGGTCAGCTGATCACAGAATTATTGATGGTGCTACAATGTCACGCTTCTCTAATTTGTGGAAATCCTACTTAGAAAACCCAGCTTTTATGCTACTAGATCTGAAATGAAGATTGATGGGACGTCAATGAACTTTCTGATCTTCCAAAGAATATGTAGCACCTAACTGTGCAGCACATGTTCTTCATCACAATTTGTATTATAAATGATTTGTATTGTATGATTAAGGTTCCAAGGCACAATATTTACACTGTTCTGTTAGACTTTTTACTGAAAGTGAATAATGATGTAAGAGTTCTCCTAGGGCTGTCACATTGTATAGGTCATGGTGTGACTTCTTAATATGGTGCTGAGGTCTTTGTGTCCATGAATTGAAAACTAGCAAGAAAAACAAAATTAATGTTACTAAAAGACAGACTGCCATATCCAGTGTGGATATCTATTTTTTTCCTTTAATTTTTTATTTTAGACTGACCTTAATGAAACATGTCAGTTACACTTAGTTGGAAAAAGGAATTTACATACAGAAGTATCTTCCATTTCCCCACAATAACGCTAACTATTATATAAAATAAGTGCAATTACTTAACCTTTTAAGATACCCACGATTATGTTGCTCTGTAGAAATTAACTGTAAATGTCTTGTTTATATAAATTAATATCTTTTAAAAGGGAAAATTATAAGCTGATCTTAAAAATGCCCAATTATAGGGATGCGTGGCTGGCCCAGTCTGAAGAGCATGTGACTCTTGATCTCAGGGTCATGAGTTCAAGCCCCATATTGGGTATAGAGCCTACTTAAAAAAAAAGGTAGGGGGGATGCCTGGGTGGCTCAGCGGTTTGGGCATCTGCCTTCGGTTCAGGCCGTGATCCCTGAATGCCTGGATCGAGTCCCACATCAGGCTTCCTGCATGGAGCCTGCTTCTCCCTCTGCCTATGTTTCTGCCTCTCTTTCTGTGTGTCTCTTAGAATAAATAAATAAAATCTTTAAAAAAAAAAGCCCAATTATAGTTTTATGACTAGTAAGGATATTAAAAGTGTTTGTTTAAAATGAATATACTTTTAGAATTTTGGTAATGTTTTCGTGTTAGGAAAAAAACTGCACTTTTGCAAACTTGCCTCATATGAAGAAAGTGCTTTAAATGTAACAGCTGCTGACATTGTCTTACACTTAGAAGTCCATTGCCTTTTAACTATTTTTTACCTTTCTCGTCTTCAGCTTAAACATAGGAGAGGATAATGTATTCCATTCTCCATATCCTGAGAAGGAATGTGAATAAGAGGGGAGAGAAGAGTCTAATGGGTAATTATAGACATTAAAACAATATATATTATACAGAAGTGAAGGTATCATAATGATTTTGTAAGAGGCCCACTTTAATCAGAAATAGCATCAAGGTGAATGTAATCCAACATTTTGATTTGCCTTCAGAAATCCAGGTTGCTTCTAATTTTGTCTGACTGCTGTACCTTCAAGTGAAATTTTGTAACAAAAAAGAAAAGATTGTTTTAAATCTACTTGATTTTTTTTTCAAAATGAGAATCGTATGTAAATTAGAAAATAATGAATTAAATGAATGTTGTTTTTAAAATTTAGGTAGTACAAAGAGTTACAAAGAAAATAAAATCATCCATAATCATACCACTATTAACATTTTGATCAAGGTATCCATATACATAGCTATTCTTTTTATAAAAATGAAATCCTGCTTTATCTACTGTTTTATAATTTGATTTTTTTAAATTTAACATTATATTATGAGTAACTTTACATGTCAATAAACAGTTCTACGTTATCGTATTTTAAATGGCTGCATAATAGTCTATTGTGTATGTTTGTTATACATTTGATATTAAACTTTTGCTGTATATCAAGCATGATGCAAAGCACTGGGCACCTAATGCCCACCCTAACTATCCCTGTTGTCTTTTTTTTTTTTTAAGACTTTATTTATTTATTCACGAGAGACCCACACAGAGAAAGAGAGAGGCAGAGACACAGGCAGAGGGAGAAGCAGGCTCCATGCAGGGAACCTGATGTGGGACTCGATCCCAGGTCCAGGATCATGCCCTTGGCTGAAGGTGGCGGTAAACCTCTGAGCCACCCAGGCTGCCCTGTCCCTGTCTTCATTGGGTTTACAGTCTAGTGGAGGAGGCAGATACTAAGTAACCATAAAAAGTAAAATATCATTACATGTGTACGTAGGAAAAAACAGGGTGTCTGTGAGAGCATCTAATAAAGGTTGCTACTCCTGTCTGAGCGGGTTAAGAAAGTACCATATTATAATTTAACCTATTCCCTATTGATGGCATTTGCAGAATTTTAAATGAAGAATGATATGATCAGTTGTGTGTCTCTTTTTTTTTTAATAAAGGAAATAGAAGTTTGTTGAATACACTGCAAGAGAGTGGCGGGCAAGACAGCAGAGCCTGTCTGCCTGATTAGTTGTCTCCTAAGGAAGAGTCCCCAAAGCCACTCTGAATACAGCCCCTTACATCCCACTGACTATAACTGTAATTTAGTCATAACATCCACACCTAGCTGCAAAGGAGGCTGGGAAATGAGAGGGCATGTGCTCAGCTAAATATTTTGTTACTATGGGTAAAGGAGAGAATGGCTATTGGAATAATTGCCATCTCTGCCATAGAAAATATTTTATCCATTTAGGTTAGAAAAGACTATAATGTATGAAGCAATTTCTTCATGTCACATAGCCACCAAAGTGCAAACTGAGGCTCAGTCCAGGTAAAATCACTTTCTACTCTACTGCATTACATCTTAACACAACTCTGAGCAACTTCATTAACTTAAGCTAATAAGCAATAGGGAGTATTAATATATGGAGGTACTATCAAGTGAAATGCCTAATGAAGCCCAGAATTTACTTCATCCTTTTTTTAGGGCCTCCCTAAGCCCTCTCAGCAATTCGGAAGGCTGAGTTTCATTTCCGTTTTTTTTCTTTTCTACTCTTGTCCCCTAGGACATATCATGAGTACCACTATCAGGTCAAAAATTTGAGCGAGATAAAAATGCAGGGACTACCTGTTGCATTCCATTGTTCAAATTTCTCTCCTCTTCAGCCTGAACCTGTACTTTTAAAGTGTAATAGTCAGAGCTTTTTCCATTCCAAGTGACAAAAGCCTAATTCTTCCTGGGTTATATTACAAAGGATACCTGATTCATATTAACTGAAATTCTCAGGGGTCTCATTTTCAAGTATGGTTGGATCCGGGGACTTAATAAATTTGAGACAGTCTCTGTTTGTCTCTGTCTCTATATTTCTGTCTCTTCACTCCATATCTCTTGGATCTTTTTTGCTTTGTCTTGACTTCATTCTTAAGACAAGCTGTCCCAATATGTTGACAAAGATGCCTAAGAGTACCCAGACTTAGATTCATCAGAACTCACGTTCTGTTTCCACTTAAAATTCCATGCAGGGAATTTTGCAGTTTTGCAGTTTTGATTGTTCTGTCTTGGTTCATGCCCATCAGTGTGGGCAGGGGAATACAACATTCTGGTTGTCCAGGCTTAAATCTTAATGGTCACCTTTGGAGCCTGGAAGTCAGTCAGCCCCATTCAACCACAGGGACTAAGAAAGAATATCTGGGCAGATAAAAAAAAAAAAAAGTCAACTACATAAAATGAGATACTGCCTCCCATCCCACCTTATATTAAATAATGTTTTTCTGATAACTCTTTAAGAACATGGGTAGAGAGGAAGATGAAGAGGTGAAATGAGTTGGAGGTAAATACAGAAGCTAATATTAAACTGTTTGGTTATTGGCTGTGATTCCAAGATTTTACAATATCTCTAACAATGAATATTTGTATTTTCTTACCACTTTTAGTTCACTGTTAATGAGAAGTGATTTTATTCTCAAACTTCAAATGATGCAGTGTTGATAATTCAACTGATGTCAAAGTACGAGTTACCTGGCAGCCCTGGTGGCTCAGCGGTTTAGCGCCACCTTCAGCCCAGGACGTGATCCTGCAGACCCAGGATCCAGTCCCATGTCAGGCTCCCTGCATGGAGCCTGCTTCTCCCTCTGCCTGTGTCTCTGCCTCTCTCTCTTTGTTTCTCATGAATAAATAAATAAAATCTTTAAAGAAAAATGAGTTACCAGCTTCAATATTTTCTATTCACCTGATCTTAAAATTCTTGCATGCTAATCTATTCACTAGCTTTAATGTTTTACACTAATACTGCTGTATTAATTATGGCAGTAGGAAAAAGTCTAAGTTATATTTTCAAAGACCATTTCTATGAAAAAACAGATTAATGGGACCTTATGGCTTCCCATAAGGATATTTATCAAGGGAAAAAGAAGATACACATTTCAATTTACCTGACACATCCTGCAAGTGATCATGGCCACCAGGTTAGTCTTATATAGATTCCTTCCAAATTCTGCAGCACATGCCTCAGCCATTCTTCATAGTACCTGTTCCAACTCTTTTCTGTTCATTTAAATGCTGCACATATGTCTTCCCAGCTGTGTTGTATTAAGCAGATAGCTTCTCCAAATATCTTCAGAGAAGACAAGGATCTTTCATTTCTCCTTTTCACCTCAAAATCTCTATATTCACACTTTCCCTCTTTTTTTTTCTTTTTTCTTTTCTTTTTTTTTTTTTTTTGAGGGAGATGTAAGTCTCCATCAGCAAAAACCAAACTTCCTACTTTTTTTTTTTAAGATTTTATTCATTTATTCATGAGACACAGAGAAGCAGAGACATAGGCAGAGGGAGAAGCAGGCTCCATGCAGGGAGCCCGATGTGGGACTCAATCCCAGGACCCCGGGATCACAACCTGAGCCAAAGGCAGATGCTCAATCACTGTGCCATCCAGGTGTCCCCCTACTTTCTATACAGTTGCAGGGTCCTTGCTTTGTGTTTAATCCCATGGCCCCATTTTGATATCTTAGTTTCTTCTTCACATATGAAACTGTACCAGATGCATCCTTTTGGCACACTGAGTAAGATTCATTTCTAGTTCCTCATGGAGGACTTACTAGAGACTGAATCCAGAACTCCAACAAATTTAATTTTTTTTCTTGATGAATGTGTCTGAGTAATTTTTTTAAAATATTTTATTTATTCATGAGAGACAGAGAGGGAGGGAGGCAGAACCACAGGGAGAGGGAGAAGCAGGCTCCATGCAGGGAACCCGACGTGGGACTCTTATCACGGGCCTCCAGGATCAGGCCCTGGGCCAAAGGCCGCACTAAACTGCCAAGCCACCTGGGCTGCCCCTGAGTAATGTTTTTATATCTATAAACCTGTTTTCTTTTTGGGCACACAGTTAAATATATTTTCCAGCCTAGGTTGCAGTTGTGTGGGGCCATGTAATTTATTTCTAGCCATTAGATTATGGGTAGAAGTGATGTAAACCAATTCCAAATGTAGCCCATGGAACCTCCCAAGAGATCCTCCATACTCTTTCTTTTTCCTCTCTGTAGCAACCCTGAAAGCTTTTATGTTGAAGATGGTGGCCATACAAGATGGAAGGAGCCAGTATCTCCAAATGACTTTGTGACATAAAGCCTCCCTACCACCACACCCCAGCACTGATTGGTTTGGATGTGATACCAAAGGTGAGGTGAAATAACTTTTGTTGTTTTAAAACGTGGATACTTTGAGATTAATCTCCTCCTCCAGGTAATAATAACCCTAACTCTGAGCTGTCCAATGAATGCAATAGTCACTAGCCACACGTGAGTATTTACATTTAAATTTAGATTATTCATTGTGGCTGTTGAACAGTTGAAATGTGGCTAGTGTAACTGAGAAGCTGAATTTTTAAATGATTTTTTAAAGATTTTATTTATTTATTCATGAGAGATGCAGAGACAGAGGCAGAGACAGAGGCTAAGGGAGAAACAGGCTCCTCACAGGGAGTCCGATGTGGGACCCGATCCTGGATCCTGGGATCACGCCCTGAGCCAAAGGCAGAAGCTCAAGTGCTGAGCCACCCAGGCATCCCAAGAAGCTGAATTTTATTGAATTTTAATTAATTGAAACTTAAATGCGAAGAGTTACATGTGGCTAGAGGCTACCATATTGGGTATTGCAGATATAGATATTTCCATCACCATAGAGAATTCTATTGCACAATGCTGCCCTAAATAATAGAGAGAACGTTCTTATTTTTTAAATAATGTAATGTCCTAAGAAACTACCTCAGTAAAGCTAATTTCCCTCTACCTAAAAGAAGGCTGAACACATTCATTTTTTTTTAAGATTTTATTTATTTATTTATGAGAAACAGAGAGAGAGGCAGAGACACAGGCAGAGGGAGAAGCAGGCTCCATGCAGGAAGCCTGACATGGGACTCAATCCCGGGTCTCCAGGATCATGCCCTAGGCAGAAGGCAGCGTTAAACCACTGAGCCACCCAGGCTGCCCAACACGTTCCTTTCTTGCATTGTCACCTTTACTTGCCACTGCAGGTACACAGCTGACCTATTCCCTCCTACCTTTGCCTAACTTCTTGAATGAGTGGTCATGAACTCCTTGCAATGTGGCTTCCTTTCCCACTGCACACCTGTATTTGCAGGGTGCTTGGCAAAAATGTGGCCACATCTCTCTCTCAGATGTCTCCTAAATTCTTCTGTCTGGATCTATGTCTCTCCTAAGCTCTAGGCATTTTCACTCTTCAATATCTCAAGGTCACCAGGTGTTTCAGTGATATCTTGTCAGAGAAACCAGGTCAGCTCTGAATTATTTATGCCAAACCTCAAGATGGCTCGTGTTATCATTGTTATCCCCGCAAAATAACCACAGCTCTTTTATGTTCTAGAAAGCAATTCCCATTTAGGTGAACACTGAAGGTAGCACGAATCCTTGATGTTTGCGAGCTCAGAATGAAATGGACATGAATTCATCGTCAGGCAGTTCCAGTCCTGAGCAGGAGGGCTTTAAGCACGAGCTAATTCATGTGCTAGTGAGAGAACTCTAGGCCAGCTTGCTAAAACTGAGCAGGAGAATTTGGAGATAGTCCAGAGAGCCACAAAACCGAAGCATGACCAGAGTAATTGCAGTTGTTACCAAGAGGCCATCTATATCAGGCTGCCACTGACTATCATGTGGAATGTTACAACACAAAGCTTTGGGAACAGCTGTTCTGGGCCTTGACAAGAGACATGACAGAAGAAATGAGAACAGGTGGGAGATCAAGTATTTACCTTAGATAGGGGGCAAAGTCAGGAAGGTCAAAGAAGGGGTCACGCTTATCCCAGGTTGAGGAGGAAGCCAAGGCTCCCTCCAATCAGCACACCCCGTGCCTCTACTCACCCGCGTTTCCAGAAGAGCTGGCAAAATGTGCTAAACTTGGGCAAAGCTATGGAACTTGAAATTTGCGGCAGGAAACTCCCTAATATGTTCCAAAAATGTGGTAAAAAGGAAAGTTAAAAAAAAAAAAATCAAGGCTTATAAAGTCTGTAAAGAAGTTGCAAGAGTGCAGTGATCTGGAAAAAACTCTCAAATTAATTTCCTGGAAAAATGAAGGCAGGGTTCACACTGCAGTAACAAAGGCAACTAAGTTGATGGCAGGTGTAATTAAGTTAATGGAAACTGCAGGGATGAATATAAGTCAGAATGACTAACAGTCTGAAACATTAGTTATTCAAATGCAATACAGAGGAGTCAAGGAGCTAAGGCGTCACACTAATAACTCTGCTAACCAAGGGCTTCACAAATTGCACAAGAACCTGGCTTTGGTCCCATTGTGTTTCTGGCACAAGATTAGAAGGGCCCCGTTGGTTCACATGTTGCTTGGGCAGAGCAGTACACACTGTCACAGGGATGGCACAATTTTTTTAAACCACCGTAGTCACTTACTGCACTAGTTTCTCTAATAAGTTTATGAAAATTAAAAATATTGATATATAAATGTAATACAGTCTAATTCCAAAAGATTTTTTTTTGGTTTGTAATTCTAAATACATTAAAATTTCGCACAGCTTCTATCTTTACTAGCTATTACAGGTTTAACAATTGCATGATATTTGTGGAAATGTGAAAAAACTATTTTTTTAATTGCCCATTAAAATGTATATAATATATCCTCAAAAGTTGGATCAATATCCTAGAAACAAATTATGTAATTCACGTGGAATTATCCAGATAAAGAGTTTAAAATTTGGTGTAGCTTTTATTTCTGTAGAACTAAGTAGTACGTAAAAATAAAAGCAAAAGGAGCATATCTTTTTGTTATGTGGCCCAAAATACCTCATTCGACATATAGAAAGCAGTGCAACTTTTGTGTCATTATTTGGTGGGTATATGGAAGATGTTGTTCTTTGTTTTCTTTTTGAAAAAATTTTTTTTCTTTCTTTTTTTTTTTTTTTAATCTCTACACGATATGTGAGGCTTGAACTCCTGACTCCGAGATCAAGAGTTGCATGCTCTACCTACTGAACCAGCCAGGTGCCCCGTTTTGTTTTTTCTTTTTAAAATAAGACTGTAGGGACCCCTGGGTGGCTCAGTGGTTGACCAGCTGCCTTTGGCTCAGGGTGTGACCCAGGGTTGTATAGGATCGAATCCCGTATCAGGCTCCCTGCATGGATCCTGCTTCTCTGCCTGTGTCTCTGACTCTCTCTCTGTCTCTCATGAATAAATAAATAAAATCTTTTTTAAAAAATGAAATAAGATTGTAATGGCTTTTATGTCTGTGGTCATCTCATTTGAGATTTAAATTGCCTTAAAAAGTTGCATAATATTCTGATTACTCCTGCTAAGGTTTTATATTTCATATCAGAACTATCTTCACATAAGGGAAGATTTATGTCTTGGGAACACTATGGGAAAAACTATGGCACCAACTATTCCTAAGAACAATTATGTTTTGTTCACTTGTATTTTGTTTGCTAAATGACATATTGGTTACTAAGACTTACAGCATGCCTTTCTCTCTCTCTCTCTCTCTCTCTCTTTAATTTGTTTATTCATGAGAGACACAGAGAGAGAGGCAGAGACACAGGCAGAGGGAGAAGCAGGCTCCGTGCAGGGAGCCTGACGGGGGACTTGATCCCGGGATCCCAGGATCACTACCTGAACCGAAGGCAGATGCTCAACTGCTGAGCCACCCAGGCATCCCAGCATGCTTTTCTCAAATGAAGATCTTGAAATTATGGCCAATTGACCTAATTTTTAGCCAATTCCCAGTGGGCTATAGAATAAATAATTTTCATACCTTAATTCTTGTGTCTCCACTGTTGATTGGCTTAAGGAAATGTGTGTATATCAGAAGTGAAACCAGCACAGAATCTTAAGGTCAGAAGTACATTTTCATTGCTCATTAAGCATATTAACTTTTGGTCATAAAACACATATAATAAAAGAAAAAAATAGCTAAAATTAAATATTTTTCTTAGCCATATTAGTCACTTAGATATTAAGTTATTAAAGATTGAAACTCTGTGGGGTCATGTGGCAGAAGCCATGTGAGAACAGCTAGAATCTGAGAACCTGAGCTCCCAGGGAAAGGTATTTGGTGTCTAACAGTGTTTCCTATCATCTCCTGAGAAAATGTCCCCGTTTTGTCAGACTAAGTGGTACAAGTTAGTATGTAGCGATAACTTCCTAATGTAAGTATCAAAATGTGGAAAACAGTGACTCCCTAATATTTGGCAAGTATGTTGCCTATTATTTAGGATTTTCCCTTTCCTTGTGTATACACACACACACACACACACACACACACACACGACACTAATGGAACATTTTCACATAAAAGAATATCAATGTTCCAGAAAATTTTACAGCTAAACAAATCAGTTTTAAAATATTCTTAAATCTTTGGGCATCTTGGTGGCTCAGTTGGTTAAACATCTGCCTTCGGCTCAGATCATCATCCCAGGGTTCTGGAATCTAGCCACGAGTTGGGCTCCCTGTTCAGCAGGGAGCCTGTTTTTCTCTCTCCTCCCCTCTTTTGCTCTCTCTCAGTATCTCTGTCTCTTTCTCTAATAAATAAAATCTTTTAAGAAATGATTAAGTATTTAAGATAATCAAAGTACAATTACAGAGGCTTCAAATTCTTCTTCTTTTTAAGATTTTATTTATTAATGTGAGACACACAGAGAGAGGCAGAGACACAGGCAGAGGGAGAAGCAGGCTCCCTGCGGGGAGCCCAATGTGGGGCTTGATCCCAGGACCCCAGGATCATGACCTCAGCCAAAGGCAGACACTTAACCACTGAGCCACCCAGGCGCAAATTCTATCTTTGAAAGACAATTCTTAACATTTAAATTATTGATCTAATGAGGACACGTCTCATATTTAAGTTTCTTGGCACTCTGGTTACATGGTATTTCTGCTTCAAAGCCTTCTATTCTGACAAGTAACTGTTTTATTATAAAAGACTGTAGGGAGTCATAAAAAGAGCCTTATAGATCAAAATCCGAAGGTATTATATTCCTATTTTCCATTGCTTTTCCCTATGTTCCTTTATTTTCTCTTATTTGAATAAATGGATCACACAAAGTAGATGCTTGTATGCTTGATATGATTACTTGTAGTTACTGTAGTCTTATCAGAATTTATGGGAAGAAAACTAACTAAATGATCATTAGTTCTACTATACTTTGTAAAAGATA